TGTGAAATAAAAGCAAAGCAAAAAAAAAACAGTAAAACACGGACAATGATACCAGTGAGAATTGAAAGTTAACCCAAATTAAAAAGATGAATCTGCTTTTAAACATTTCAAGGCAGTCACTAAATACTTGAAGAACTTTTAGCGGATACTACTTCTGTACTTTATATTATTCTGAAATGGGCCATTGTGCAGAATGAGTAATTTTACTCTTTGTAATAAGTAACTTTTGATCTTAATACTTTTGTACTTTTACATTTTGAAATAAGGACTTTTAAGACATTTAAGACCATAGTATTTGTAAATGTTGTAGTTTTACTTAAGTAAAATATTTGAGTACTTCTTCCAATACTGCAATGTACTATTGTGTGTGTGTGTGTGTGTGTGTGTGTGTGTGTGTGTGTGTGTGTGTGTTGTGTGTGTGGCCTAGCATTAATATACTTGTGGGGACCTAAATCTGTTTACACAGTCACGTGTGGGGACTCGCCCCCCTTATGGGGACAAATTGGAGGTCCCCATGACGGGAATCATTCATTTTAGGGTGAAGACTTGGTTAGGGTTAGGGTAAGGGTAAGGGTAAGGGTTAGGCATGTGTTGGTTATGGTTTAGGTTAGGATAAGTCTCCAGGAAATGCATGTAAGTCAATGTAATGTCCCCTGAAGTGATGAATACATGGTGTGTGTGTGTGTGTGTGTGTGTGTGTGTGTGTGTGTGTGTGTGTGTGTGTGTGTGTGTGTGTGTGTGTGTGTGTGTGTGTGTGCATAATGTCACTTAGTGTGTTAGTAAAGTAATCCCTCACATGTCCATGGCGTGCTTGGCCTCCTCGATGTCCTTCTTGATCTCAGGCGTGATGTTGAAGTGCAGTTTTTGGGGCATGGGCAAAGGCACCATGGGAGTCCGCACCAGGTCTGGCTTCCTCCTATTAGCACAAACAAAAACGATCATCAAATGGAATAAAAACAAACTAAGGTTGCAGTCAAATAGTGCTTTTTGCTAAGGGACGATTCCTAACTGAGTGATACGAGTACTTATAAGTGTCAGCCACGATAAGAGCTATTTCAATTCTGTACAAGGAAATAAAAAAGATCTTCAATGTTTCCTTCAGTATCTCCTTTACCATAGGATACACCAGACCATCCTTTACCAAGGAAAGGAGATAATGCACTCCCACAATTCCTTGCAGCTGCAATATTTAAAGTGCCATTACTCCATTTGGGAAACCAACTCATGATGGACGAATGCACATGACGTAAATTAAAGTGCGTACTAAGCATTTTCCATCTCATGCGATATATTGCCTTCTATGTTTGAACTTTCATTAATATGTTAAACCAAAAGGAGAACTATGAATTTAACGTGAAAACATGACCAAAGGAAGTCAAACGTTTACAATGTTCAGTTGGGTAAGTGATTTTTTCAAGCAGGTTTATTTTTAATCAACATGTTTGAATGGTGATATGCACAGAAGTAGATGTGTATATGTGTGTAATCCATATATTTCATAGGTTATTATTTATTCATAGTTTCATACAATCATACTAACTGGGATTCATGTTGGTTCAAACAAGTGGACAGTAAGGGGAAAACATTTCCTTTCCGTCCTGCTCTCTTACTTGTTGCTGAACTTGCAAAAACCCTACAACAAGAATAAATACAAACGTAAACATAAACGATCTTAGACCTACTTACGTGTATTCCACAACATGGTCGATCAGAGCCACTATCGGCGGGCCCTCAGCTGGAGCGTGCTCATAGTTCGCACCACATGTCCCGTCTTCTCCAATAATAAACTGAGAGGAAGAACAGACACAGAACGTAGGACAAGAACGTGTAAAACATTGGCATTCAATTATCTCAGCTTATCAATTCTGTTAGAGCCAGGCAAGTCCTTCTGGTCAAAATCAAGTGTTGAGTTTACACAGGGGTATCTGAGTACCTCTTCCAATATGGCAATTTACTACTGTGTGTGTGTGTGTGTGTGTGTGCGCGTGTGCGTGTGCGTGTGTGTGTGTGTGTGTGTGTGTGTGTGTGTGTGTGTGTGTGTGTGTGTGTGTCACCTGGAGCGTCTTGTCGAACCAGCGGTTGCCACTGTTCCACTGGCTGCCTCCTCCGTGCAGCATCTGGATAGCGGCAGAGCTGCGGTACGTCTCATCAGAGACCTGAGGCATGGCTCCGTCCAAACAAAGAGTGAAGATGCTCCTCTGGATGGCCCACACCGACTTTGTGTTGGTCTTATCTAGACGTATCAGATAACCCGCAAACAAGAGACTCATTGGTTTCTTCTGCTATCGGAAAAGACTTCACGTCACTGATATCATGGGAGCTGTCGTGGCTTCCTTCCTTGTTTTCTATCAAGCCACTAGACGCCTTCAACAGACATTTTAAACTTGTTTTCTGTTTGGAAAATACTGAATGTCCTCTCCTAATATCAGAGTCCACATGATATCAAAGGTATCCCAACTGTAGCTGTGAACATGACAGGATGTGTGATTACCTAGAAGAGCATCAGGACTGTTTGAGGCATATGATAGCTATGTGATTAACATGATGATTCAGCCTCTATGGAGAGAGACATATGACAAGCATGATCATTTCTGACGTGGAGCTAATCTGAAGTAAACATTGAATAGTGTCCTCCATCTTGTGACTGTGTGACTCCCTCTCTTGGATATCAGCATGTGAAGGACACTGTTCAGGAACTAGTTGATGCTCTGTATGTGATGACTACTTCCAGATATTTGAGAAAAAGTCAGAATTGAGATTTTAAGAAAAAGTCATCATTTTTAGGAAAGTCAGAATTTTTGAGATTTTGAGAAAAAGTCAGTATTTTGAGATTTTAAGAAAAAGTCATAATTTTGAGATTTTCAGAAAAAGTCATAATTTTGAGATTTTCAGAAAAAATACATAATTTTGAGAAAAAATCATAATTTTGAGATTTTGAGAAAAATACAGAATTTTGAGAGAAAGTCAACAAAAAATTACTTTGAAAATAAGTCAGAATTTTGAGAGACTGTCAGAATTTTGAGAGAAAGTCAGAATTTTTGGAAAAAGTCAGATTTTTGGAAAAAGTCAGAAATTGGAGATTTTTAGAAAAAGTAAGGATTTTGAGAAAAAATTTGAATTTTTGGAAAAAGTCAGGATTTTGAGAGAAATTCTGAATTTTGAGAGAAAGTCAGAATTTTGAGAGAAAGTCAGATTTTTGATATTTT